TTCCTTGTAGCCACGCGTAGCCCTGCTTCCCGGAGAAGGGAGGACTTTGGGGACCCTAACAGCAGCCTTTTACCTATAAAAAGGTCACCAGGAAGATGGGGCCAGGCTCTTTCCAGCAGCGCACAGCAAGAGTACGAGAGACAGCCAGCACAACTTGGGCTGTTTGCACAAAGTGTTTGCACCGTACACCAGTGGCAATGACATCAAGACTAGAAACCCCACCCCACCCCCCAGCAGAATCTGGACTGAGGCATTAGACCTTTTCTAGCCAGGGGATGAGACCATCTTCTTGCAGAGGAGGCAAAAGTCTTCAGCACCAGGAGATGGCATTTGCATTTGGCTTATACACTCTGTACCAATAACTACCCTGTTCCTACTTCCTCCTCCGCACAGGGACACGAGACAGGGCAGGCTGGTGGGAAGGGACAACTTCAAGCATGAACTTCCTCAAGTCAGCTGCAGGCAGGTAGCTAGTAAACATCTGTGGCTGGTGGTGAAGCATCACAGGTGCAGCAGCAGTGAGATTTCCTGGTGCTAACATGCTGGCAGTGCTGCTCTGGGCTGGTGGCACACGGAGGCCTCCTGCACCAGTGCTGGGGTGAGTGTCCCAGCGGCTGGAAACCTCTCAGATGCCCCAGGGGCTGAAGATGCTGCTGGCATTGCATTTCACACCAGTCCTGTTAGTCCATGCCCTCCTGCTGTGCTAGGCAAGGTTCATCTTCGTGCCAGCAGCCAGTATCAGTCACAGGCTCCTGTTTGCGTTATGGCCAGAAAGGAAAGTGTTGAAGAAGCTCAACGCCAGGAAGCAGCTGGTACCCGCGTCCAGCCCTGCAGCACAGCCCGGCACTGGCTGATGTGACGTTCCCCTGGTCAGGCCCTTGGCCCCATCCCCGCCCATCACAGACGGAGCGCGTGTCTGCGCAATCACACGCAAGATACTGTGCCCTGGCACCACACCAGCAATTTTACTGAAGTCCAGAAAGATTAGTGCTACCGTATCTAATTAGCCTAGTAAATCATTTTCTGGGCACACACAAGGCACTGCTGCTGTAGGTGAGGGGCAACTAGATGATCTGGCAGTAAGCTGGAGGTGATCAGATCAATACTGCATCAGTGGTGACCCCAGCAGCAGCCTTCCTGCAAGTTAGACAGAGGTTTTAGCTTCTTGTAAGAAGCAGCTATAGAAGCAGGCGCTATACAAATCTGATTGTTTTACAAATGTCCTGTGAGCTCTGAAATGGCTTTTAGCTGTTCAAATGCAGCTCTCAGGATCCAGCAGGCACTAGGACCCACCTGAAGCCTTTATGCCCAAGAATGTACAGAGGGATAAATATAGCACAGCCCAGCACAGCCCGTACACATTGCTGGGGGGAGGAACCCGCACCCTGACACCCCCCCCCCAGCGTCCCACTGCACCGGGGCTGTGCAGTGGCTCAAATGCTGCACAGAGGAGGCACTTAGGGAGCTCTGCGGCAGTGCTGGTGCCGCTGTGGCCTTGGCCACCGATGCTCCAGCTCTGCAAGGTCACCTCCTCGCTGCTCATCAGCAACGCCAGGGCAGCCTGCAACGAGGACCTGCTCACGCAAGAGGGAGTCACCTTCTGCGTTAATGTCACCAGGCAGCAGCCCTTCCCTGGCCTCCAGCAGGTGCGGGGCATACGCGTGCCTGTGTTCGATGATCCGGCTGAAGACCTGTACCAGTATTTTGAGCAGTGCAGTGATGCTATAGAAGAGGCTGTGAAGAGCGGTGGGAAGTGCTTAGTTTACTGTAAAAATGGCCGCAGCCGATCAGCTGCCGTTTGCACTGCTTATCTGATGAAACACAGAAAGCTCCCGCTCAAGGCTGCCTTTGAGGTATTGTACACCCAGATTTATATTTAGACATCGATTGGGTAAGAAATGCAATGCTTGTTATGAGTAATGATGATTTCTCATAGAACTATTTTGGTGCTCTCACCTGTTTATTAGCAGTTACATAGATAGACAACATTTGAATAAAAAAAAAAAAATGCCACTGTAAGCTTTTTCACCCCCAACTCAGACAAATAAGCTTTCAGCATGAGGTTTCTAGGACAAACATAATTACAAATGCAAATAGGATTTAAGCACTGGTAGCAAATATGCAAAGTTGGTTGCTTTGTGACCATTTTCCCTATTGTTTGCTTAGTCATGATAAGTGAAGTTAAAGACAGAGGCATAAAGCAGATGAGTGAAATGGATGCACATGTGCGCAGAAGTTGTTTGGCAGGATTTGCTCTTATCACCGATGCGACAGCTCAACGCAGCAAAGCAGCAGCATCTGCCGGGTGTGCTAAATAGCTAGGGACTAGCTAGCTACGAGTAATACCACCTCAGCTTTGTTAGGAAGCCTGTCCAATACACGACTCATGCCCTCGGGTCTTTTAGTCTTCACCCATTTGGTAAGTATATATCACTAAAGTCTCAATCTAGATAACAGTTTTGCTCAGTACTAGACAGAGGCGTGCAGACACGTGAGCCAGTTCCAGGCTATCTTAAACATGAGCGGTGTCACCACACTTTGTGAGAGACATTCACATTTCCAGCAAATTCAAGAGCTCCTTTTCATCTCTTGCCTATGAATCCATTCTGTAACAGGGACCACATGCCAAGAGGTCTTAGCAAGCACAGAGCAAGGTCAGCTCACCAAATAGCTGTTTATTATTCTGTAGCCAAATCAAAACCAAAGTAAATTGTCTCAAAAGTCTAATAGGGGAAAAAAAAAAATCTGTTTGCATGATACCCACCCTTGCTTCTACAATGTCTCTCCTTTTTCTTAGACTGTGAAGACTGCCAGACCAGTAGCAGAACCCAATGCAGGATTTTGGTCTCAGCTGCAGAGGTATGAAGAAGATTTGCAGATACCAAAGCAGTCTGATCTGCTGAGCAAAGGACTTAACTCTCTTTAAAACATCTTCACACATTGCTATTTTAAAGTGGCTTGCTACAGATTTAAAAACAAAATAATCACTTCATATATCGTCTATACATAAAATGCCTTACTCCCCAAGCTGAGTTGATGGTGCATCTAATCCATTCAGAGCGTCACCGTTGAAGGTGCCTGGGAAAGGGGCAGATAAGCAGGGAGATACAGCAGAAACAGAAAATGGTTGGAAGGACTGTAAACAAACAGAGAAAGGCATGATATCTTCAGCATTTATTTTCCCCTGAATGGCCCTGAATATGATAACAACGTATTGAACGAATTAATAAGTTACTACATAGAGATTTTACTCTTGGTTTTTAATTAAACTTCCCAGTGACATCACTAGAAGACCTGATGCCAGACCAAGGAAGTTCTGAATTTCTATCGCACTGGGTCATAATTCATGTTCATGAGCTGACACAACCTTTGGTGGGAAACTAACTCTGGAACTGCTTAGTCTCTGCCTGAGTTCTGCATTTTCCTTACATTCAACGAGAGCAAAATACCATCCCGAAATTACCTAAAAATCCAGAGGACAGAATATGCAGATGATGGTAAGGAGTTCAGCTCCCACGGTGCAAGTTAAGTGCCTTTTCAGCTTTTGAAATCAGTCTCCAAAATACCAAAGGAATGATTTTAAAAACAATAGTTGATAGTGGAGGGAAGAAGATGACACTGGCAATCTAAAAGTAATCCTAACTCCTTTTAGCTTTACTTACTAAGCCTAACAAGACCTATCAGTGCCCAGTTCATACCTTAATGTGTCAGTTTACAAGTCAGCTGTATCTGCATGCAAGAAACATGGCTAAATCATTTCTGCTAAGACTGCTTGCCCTGTGAAATTATCTATTGGGATATCAAGGAAGCTGCAGGAACCATCTAAATCAGGCTACAATTATGTTTATCATTAGACATTAAAAGCAGAGAGAAACACCAAGGTATTTTGTCAAACTGTATTAATACATTTGTAATTTAAAAGGGACGAGTTATAAAACCTGTGAACCTGCCGTGTGAAATTCCATTCCATGGTGCTCAAAGCATCAATACAAAGTTAGCTCATCGTCATCCAAGTGCTTACACAAGGCAAACGTGTTCCCAGCAGTGAAGTAGTTTAAGGCAGAAATTGTAATGATGGAACAATGACAGAGAATAAAGCCACTGGGGAATTACATGAATTAGACAAGTCAGATGCAACAGAAGTTCCAAAAGTTAAAGATTGCTCAAAGTTAAAATAGGATTATTTCAAAAGCTGAAAACATAGAAATAAAAATAAAAAAAATGAGTCTATCATCTTCTTAGTTATCACAAGGCATTTTCGCACCAGATGCTTTCTCCACTTCCAACTGTGTTTGGTTCATTCTGTATCATTTATCTTTGGTATCTGCATCACAACCAACAAGAAATTTGTTGCACATCTGCAGATTTGGAGGTGAGTGGTTCTCAGGGAATTTTTGGTAACTTTTATAAATCTTGACTATCATACATAACATAAATTTCAGAATAACATGAGACTTCAAGCCCACAGTATGTAGACTGCATCCTTATTAATGGCCAGGATACCACTCATCAAAAAAACCCTGTTTCAGCCAGTCTATGGAATAAAGTTTATTTCCTGTCAAAAGCTAAAGCTGCTAAACAAAAGCAGGAAGCTAAACATTAATGAAAACACATTTCTAACTGTGAGGCGTAATAACTTGCAGTCAGCTACAGCATTATCAGTTCCGCATTTTTGAGTCAGCTGAAATAGAAACAGTTGCTCTTGATGATTGTCACAAGATACACCGTACTCTGTGGTTAAATTTTACCGGGCTTCTCAGTGTGCAGAAAACCTTCAAGCCACAGGATTTCACATCACAGCTTTTTCTGCAGAAACCTATTTACATTTGAAAACCATTCCCGGAAAACTATTCCTGTTTACATTGAAAACTGTACCTCCTCTTTGTACTGCTCCAAACTAAGATGAAAGATTGCAACTTCGAACCGGAACCCTGGAAGTAGTTCACTTCTTTATTTGAGTTCATAACCTACTAACGTTACAAGCGACGTAAAAGATAAGTTTAGACATACTCCTTGTTGCTTATGATTGTCTCAGAGTTTTTGGTGTAAATGCGCTGCTGATGCGCTGCCTGGCCTGCTGAATATGCGTATTTGTTGCAACTGTAAAGTAAGAAAAAAAAAAAAAGATACAAAATAATAGGTATTACACACATGTCCACAGTTTCAGATACTTAGAAAGTTACTCATTTGATCTGCATCCATCCCACCGGTAGCACATACTTCACAAAGGTGTGGAAATTAGAGGCCTGCTGTTCTCATCGGTCTTGTAGCTACGGGGAAAGAGATGGGCTCTTTGGCAGGCAGCACAGCCATCTCTCTTGTAACCAGAAACACACTCTGGATTCCCAGCTCATGTGTGCTCTTCCTCGAGGCATTTTAGTCAAGTCCCGAAAGCAGAAGAGAACCTAGATCTTAATGCCTTTGTGCAAGCTGCAGTTTTTAATACAGGAATCAAGATGATGAGAAAGGAAAACTCAGCCAAAATCTTCAGCCAACCCCTTCAGCTGCCATTCGTCATGTTGAACTTCTATTTCATACATCAGTTTTACCTAATTTTTCAGATGTTTCAAGATATTTTGTACTTTGTATCAAAGTGCGATGAGCAAGATCTAAAGTCCAATGTGGCTGATGAAACATTACCATAAAATTTAAATGGCTGCAGATTAGGCAATGGAGTATCAATGGAACACTCTAACTCGTTACGTGTTTTGATAAAACTTTCCTAAGATGAAATACAGCAGCAGAGAGCATGCTTCTCCCTTCCATGTTATCATCCCCTCAAGCTTAGCCAGTACAGCCTCCAAGCTATTTGGGCTCTCCTGGGTAGACATGGACCTCTGCTATTTCTGACAATTTCATCCCTCTCCTTCAGAAAGGGACCTTGTGTATGTGTGAATAATTTAAGATTGAAAAAAAAAATATCCAGGCAAGGTTAAACATTTAGGCCGGAAATCTCAACTTTTCTGATTTGATGTGCAACAAAATCATATACATCTACTGATCGATTGGATATGTTTTGGGAGGAAAATGCCATTACACTTTCTGCAAATTAAATGCTGTTTCAGTATTTTAATAGTAGTGAGTATTGCAGAACTTGATTATAATACACTGTATTCTTTGGTATACTTTTATTTTTGTAACAGATAGTTCACTCTTTCATTGCACATTTTCATCATGTAAATCTTAGAACCATCAGCAGTACCCAGAATTACTAAATACTCATTAGAGGTGACCACTGATGGCAAAGTATCAACGAGTACACTATCTGAGAGGCACAAGTGTTTGGTACAGCATCCCCCCCACCATCACAAGTCTGTGCCATGCCACAGCGCTGAATTAATAGGTACAATTTCCTGTTTGTACTTTATATGGCTACAGATTTATACCAGGGGTGAGGGAGAAAGAATAGTATACCAACAGAAAATGGTATATAATTGACAGTTACTATTTCAACTGACAAATCCAAGATTACCTGTAATCCTGTCTTTTCTTCCCTTTGCATGAACAGGTCAGTAAGATCCCACCAAGCATATAAAGAACAGATCCAGCCCAGCCTAAGTACAGAGCATCTCCTAGTTCATACCTGAAACATGAAAGATTTTATGGAAACAGCATATAAGAGGATCACAAAGCCATTATTTTAGACTGAGCCATGAGATGCACAAATCATGCAAACAAACAAATTCTATTCTGCTTAGAAATCAGCTAATTGAAAGGTACTTCAACAGATAACAGAGGAGAACAGAGACGGGTTTGTGTCTGTTCAGTAAAACTCTTACATGGATATTTAAGTACTCTACCAAATCAGTGACAGAGCAGAAAGTACTAAGCAACATAAAGATAAGCAGCAATAAATACTTGCATATATTTAATAAAATGTTGATAATAAATGATAATAATATTCCTTCTGTGCAGTCCACAGCACTTATTTTACCCTTATATTAGCTGTGCCACTGAAGTCATTTTCTGAACCTGAATGATTCAGACCTTACTGCCTGTGTCACAAGAAGTGGCAAACCATAGGAACCACTTTTCTATGGACACAATGCTAGATTGCCTACAAGTAACCATTTGTGTAGGGCTAGTTATCAAACTTAAGCATCCTAAAAATATACAGCACTCTATGTGGTTATATAGCTGAAATACATTTATGCGCAGTCCCAGTTTAAAAAAGGATAGTTCTCCATTTTACTGTACAAAACTACACCCTTCAGGAAATCCCCTAGTCCAGTCCAAGAAATTCACAGATAATGAATCTGACCCAACAACTAGACATGATCGAGCCTGGTAAAGTCTGGCAGGAGTTTCACAAAAGGAGAAAACCAAATTTTTTCTATTTGGACAAAGACTATATCCACAATATGGTTGTACCTCTGGTCTGAGACACCAGAGTTAAGTGTTGTGGACTGTGCAGAAGGTATACTGAAACCAGATATGTGTGTTTCCTTTCTATTTGTAAACACAAAATCATCATTTAAAAGTGTGAATGTTTCTGATTCCAGAATTAATTGTTAACAGGAAGGTTTCAGAGGTTTACACAGGTTTGCTGCGCCCCATGTTCCCTGCAAGGTCTCCACTGTTTTAGGTGCTTTCCAAACACAGAACAGAGATGATCATTTTCACAAAAAAACAGGGTGGAAATTGCTGGAGGAATACTAAGGAACAATCAGAGGGTGCTGCACAGTGCACGCACTCATCTCTGCTCACTAGTTGCCTATAGACAGGAATGCTGTAGACATCATACCAAAGGAAAGTATATAAGAGGAGTCTGCGGGAGAACTTGATTGCCTTCGCAGCTCTATGAGAAATTCCTCTAAGAATTAATAGAGGTTAACTTCACTATTTTGCTGAAGTCAGGCCAAAAAAATGCAATCTGAAAAAACAGATTTGCCAGTTTCTTAAGAGTGAAGATCAATACTGGCCTGCAATTGAATTTAAACCTGTCTCACAGTCCAAGGAGCACAAACTTCCTCAAGAGCATGTCTGCCTTTATCAATGATCAAAGCTAAGTCACTAAGAACTGCTTAGTGAATCGATAGTCTTAAACATGAAGTTCAGATATTAAAAAAAAAGATTTCTTTAGCTACTGAATGCAAACACTGTGGTAACTGATTAACGTGCATTGATATTGAAGCCCCAAAGTTATACCAGATAACTACAAAACTCGCTAACTACCCCACTAACTGAAATTCCTTATCAACAGTTGTTTCGGTCCTCTAACATATTTATTACCCTTCATATAATTCTCTCCAGGGGATATAAAACAACAAAAAGTATTTGCAAGTGCAATTTCTTTGTAAGAGCTTGTTTGAAAACACAAGGAAAACTGACAAACATCCAAAGCAATTGCTTGAAGTACTTTGATTCATAACAAAGCACTTCACCTCTGATTTCCCTGAACTGATCCTCAGGAGGAAACTTATAAACTACTTCAAATATGATCCTAGGAACTAAAGGGTTATAGTTTACAGATCTAAAAAAATACATACTTGTCAGAGGTACCCCTGCCAAGTGTATGAGGTACCCCTCTTTCCCAAACCAGAGCTCTCGTGTTCCACAGACAATACATTATGTCTCACTCTCCCTTTTTCCCCCTCTGAAGGAGAGGCTCACTCACCTCCACCCTTGTTCCTCATTGCTAATTCTATTGACCTAGATAAGGTGCCATAAGCAGGCATTTGGTTTTGAAGACTGTTGCTTTTATATCAGACAAGAATGAGGGCTTTTATATCTCAAAACTTGTTTGTGCACAACTGTATGAGCTGATAGTCCCACAAGCTTTGCCTTATTTTCATTCATAAGGCAAATAAATGTTGAGCTGTTAATATATAGTGAAAAATATTTTTCTAGTTCTTTAAGACAAGCAGCACACTTCAATGATGTTTCTCAGCTAACTGCAGGTCACTAGTATGCAGTTCAAGCTGGTTTCTGTACATTTTTTCATTTGCTTGTACATCTGAGGCATTGTATTCTAGCCATAGCTAGAATTTTGTACCTGTTTTGGTCTAAATGACAAAATTAAGACTTTCACTTCTTCATAGCACCGAGATGTGCACTTAATTGAGTCTCACAAGAAAATGTAAACACAGTACAGAAACCCCTCAGTGTGGGGCTGATATGCCGCACACATTCACTAAACTGTCCCAAAGAGACCTCTCCTCCCTCCCCACCAACAGCAAACATTTCCAAGGTGAAAAGTTTCCCTCAAGACAGATTTTTTTCCTCCTGTCTGTATGACTGGATAATGGGATCCATCTGAAACTCTGGAGCAGCTGAGGTTAGTGCAGCTGTCTGTAACACATGAGGGAGTTTGGTTTGATGGATCTGTTAACTTACTTGGTTCCAGCATACAATGGGTCAAAAAACTGAGCAGTAACCATCGCAGCATACCAAGAAACAGCCACCATGGAGCAGAGACCTACCAGAAAAAATTTAAAAAGCACACAGGTGAATGATTCCTTTAACAGCTGTAACAGCTTTAAACCAAGAACAAGTGTTCATTTCATTTAGTCTAGCTGTGAAAGCAATACAAAGTGTCGATAGCATTCTCATTTCAGCCTCCGTATTACCTCCTAAAATAAAGAGAAATCCTCCCGTCACAGCAAACTTCATTTTTCCATCTTCATCGCTCAACCCAACGTTTGTGCACTTCAAACCAAGCAGTGAGAGTACTGCAGCTATGAATCCCAAAAGGATGGAAGTAATCATCAAGGCACGGCATGCCTGAATATGAGCTAAGACAGAAAAAGAGAAAACAAATCAGGATCTATACAGAAATTAAATGAATCTTGTGCTGAAAAAATTCAAGTGATTAGGAGGAGTGACAAAATTAACAGGAGCAGTAATAAATGAATCTTGTCCAACACCCTCAAGTGTTTAGCCTTCAAGTCAATCAGATTTCAGAGTTGAACTACACTTACACTTTATAAGCTCAGTAAATCCTCTTGGGGCTTTAGTAAACCCTGAAAAATTACAGGAAGCCCTTCATAGCTTACATCTTTAAGTCCTGTGAAAACATGTAGCAGTATGTATGGTCATTTACAGGAGCAGAAATAAGTCTCCTACTCACAAGTCCTGATGACTTCCTTACACCTGCACGGCTGAGTGCACAGCACACCTCTGAACTCCGGGTCCTGGCCAAGGTGTGCGGGGCTCTGGCACTACAGAGGAACTGAAAAAATGTGCCGGCTGTGCTACTTCCAGTAAGAGATGAGAAAGAAAATGCTCGAGTTAGCAGTGCACTTTAAACTCTGAGTTGGGTTAAGGAATGGGAGACGAGTGGATCCAAGAGCTGCAGCACTCCTCTCCAAGAGAGGTTACAGCTGGCGTGAGCACGTTAGGGAATTTGGTATGCTGACAATTCTGCATTGCTTAAGCTCCCGGTCTTCACCTTTAGGTTATCGACTGCACAAAAACTGGGGCCAGATTATTAACCACCCTTAAGAAGTAAGGTCAGACAGGGACTTTGCGCCCCTTTAAAATGGCACCCTGGATTTGGCGGGTCCCAGGTCAAATGGCACTTTGGCACCTTTGTTATGAGATAAACATGCCAAGTGTCACCAGTCCAGCAGGTCTTGGCTGCTAACGTTGTTGGCCTTGACGATCTTAAGATCTTTCCAACCTAAATGATTCTATGACCACACATTAAAAGGGTCTGAACTGGACTGCATCTGGACAGTCACACTGTTGATGCTAGCATTCAAGCTCTTGCTCCCTGATCACCTCCACGTCCTCCACAGTAACCTGCTCTCTAGCTTTATAGCGGAGTGAGCTCGTAACTCTCCAGACAACAAAAATCAGGCACAGAAACAGAAGGTAAAATGATAGATTCACACTCAGACTCAGTGGGCTGTATAGTTTTATGTGGCTTAAGAGTGTTGGTCCTGCAAGCTTAAGAGTTATCAAAGACAGTAATAAACGGTCATGAGATAAATACACAGAATTAAAGGATAACATCATTCAAGGAATTAATGTTTTGTTAAGCATTAATTTTAAAATTTTTGGGGAAAAATACATACAGCAATAAAAGTGAAAAGACCCCTCAAAGCACCATTAACAGTTCAAGGGTTTTGCCTGCAGAAGATACTGTTAGGACAAGCACTCGACTCTGATGCTGCTTTTTAGTTTGGGATCTTACACCATGGCAGCAGGAA